GCCTTGCATTCATGAGGCCCTGGGTTCGATTCCTCAGCACCACATAGGCAGAAAAAAAAAAGCTGGAAGTGGCACTGTGGCTCAAGCAGTAGAGTGCTAGCCTTGAGGTGAAGAGCTGAGGGACAGCGCCCAGGCCCACAATTCAGGCCCCACAACCAACAAAAAAATAATAGTAATGTAATATAAATGACTGGTTAAATCCATTATAAGTAGATAATTTGCTAGATATGTGTATATATTCATGTATATATATGAATACATATATATGTATATATATACATGCTATATATATGCTATTCATATATAATATACATTTTATATATATAATAAGTAGATTATATATATATATATATATATATATATTCTTCAGAATCTGTACCATCATTCTCTTTGGCTTTTTCCTCTCAGAAGATGTGTAGCAAAAGTGCCTTCAATTAAAACCCCAATGGAGCTAGATGAAAAGCCCTTGAAAGCACTTTCCACCAAAGATGGAAATGGGATGGGTGCGTGGAGGCGCTCCTGTATCCACGGCAGACTCACTTCTGCTACCTGGGCTGCAATAAGGGACCGGAGCAAATGTCACACATAGGCAAGCAGGAAGGCTGCCCAGCATCATATGAGCAGGCTTCCTGGTTGGCCAGCCCTTCTAAAGTGTCAACTGGGATGCAGCACTCCCATAGCTTTACAGGAAGCTCAGACAGGTGGCAAGAGAACTGGGTATAAGAGCCAGTTGTTTGCAGAACAGAAATGACTGCTGGAAAAAAAAATTCTGCACCATTTTTCCGAACAGTAAATGACTTTATACCAAGGATGTGGCAGTATGTGGTTATGGGGTATATGATGTGGCATATTATATTCTTTATGAGTCCAAAAATCTACCTGCTAAAAAACAAAATCCCAAAAGAAAGCTAAACTGTTCAAACAAGTACCTTAACTGGGAAAGGACCCTAGAGTCGTGAACACAGCCTGGAATCACTGGTGCTTCTTATTCTAGAAAACAGGCATTTCAGGTGGTGGCAGTAGCTCATTTCTATCATCCTAGCCACTTGGGAGGCAAAGATTGGGAGGATACCGGTTCAAAACCAGCCTGCAAAATACACTGTGAGATCCCCTTTGCAGGGAAGAGCTGGACAGGACGGCTGGTCCCTGCTATCCTCTCTACACCGGCAGCCTCAGACAGGTGTGCGTCCAGGTGTGCATCTGCACAGGAGATAAGCCCCATCTCAGAAATAACCAGCAACAGTCAGGACTGGGGGTGTGGCTCAGCACTGCTTGCCTAACAAGTGTGAGTTCAAACCCCAGTACTGCCTGCTCCCTACAAGAAAAGAAAAAGAAGTGTTAAGGGGCAGCCCGCTAATCACCAATAATGGCTCTATAGTAGTATATCTCCTGTTAGCATATTATTTTTTATTATTTTCTCTACCTCTTCAGCCATATGCCAGTCCGTTTTGTTTCTCATTCTTTTTTTTTTTTTTCAGAGAAAGTCTCATACTAACTTTGTTAAGGCTGGCCTTCAACCTTAATCCTGCTACCTGCATATACAGAATAGCTGGGATTATAGTACACACCACCATACCCAGCTCTGACATCTTCAGTGTTCTTTTTTTTGGGGGGGGGGGTCCAGTCGTGGGCCTTAACTCTGGGCCTGGGCGCTGTCCCTCAGCTCTTCAGCTTAAGGCTAGCGCTCTACCACTTGAGCCACAGTGCCACTTCTGGCTTTTTCTGCTTATGTGGTGCTGAGGAATCGAACCCAGGGCCTCATGCATGCAAGGCAAGCGCGCTACCACTGAGCCACCTTCCCAGCCCCATCTTCAGTGTTCTTAAATTCTAACTTTTGGTATTTCACTAAACCCTTCTGTGGTAAAACCTATGAGCAAGTTATATAAACTACAACCTATTCACTATTCAGTTGACTTCTAATCCTTTGCCGTTATACTTTTCAAGATAGCTCTTCTTCTTGATGTGATATCATCAGGGAATCATAGAATATGTTCCAAGGCAAAGCTAATTGCATCATTGATAAGGCTATACTTACCGAATAGATATTAATGAACACTGTCCTCATTACTCATTTGCACAGCACTATGAGTTCTGACAATTTTGAACCTTATCAATGGACTATTCTGTTATTGAGCACTATTCCTGAGCACTGTTTAAACAAACATATTCAAGGTCAAGCGTAGACTTCAAGCTCCCTTGGGTCTTCCAGTGTGTCTCACACATACTGTTTCTGCAGCAGATGTGTGATGTACAAAGCCATCTCACTCCACAGGTGAAAGTAGATGATAGCTACGAAGAAAGAGTCCAACAAGTCCAGGAACTAGGGCAAAACTGTCAAGTGTTCAAGCCGGGTTCCATACAACTGTGACTCTGCGCAAATCATTCATTACCTCTGGGCCATGGTTTTCTGATCTATAAAACAAGCGTCACAGCAGTGTCTTGGCTGTAGGGTAGTTCTGGGATTAGTAAATCATCTCAGAGCATTTAATATGGTCCCTAAGAGTGCTGCACGCTTCTGCTATTGTTTCAAAAGCCTCAACCTGAGTCATAAGCTTGAGTCTCTGCAACAAGCACCCACGCTCTGTTGAGGCATCTGACGTCTGTCTTCATTCCCAGAAGGCGATCGCTGATGGAACCCAATGGGCTTCCGATCTCCCTGCAGCGTTGCCTGAAATGTTTGGGGAACTGAATGGAAGTTGGTCCAGCTGGTGGCCTGTCACTAGAGGCAGAACGATAATGAGCGTGTCCCGGACCACCTCAGCCACCAATAGGCTGAAAGCCAGTGGCCCTGAGCACCGCAAGGCTCGGGTCCTGGTTAAAACCTGTCCTCTTCTCCTAAGAGATTAGAATGCCTATTTTAACCCTGGCTGTGTCTTCAAGGTGTGAATGGCAGCTTCCTCAGCCCTCCTTTCTCCAGCAGGCTGGCTCTGGTAGAGTTAGTTTTGGGGCTTAGGAGTCGGGTGTGGACAGGTGCAGGGGAGAGAGCTATGGCTTATGCTTAGCAGCTGGAATGAGGTGGCGTTTCCTACACCATCTGTTTTCCCGATAGACAATCCATTGAAGTTCTAGAAATTTCCATTGTATTATAGAAACCACAGTTTCTCAAAACTGCCTCCAGTTCAAAGGTGCAGGGTGGCCTGGGTCTTACACCTTTGGAACTCACAGCTTTGGTGGATTCCCGTGGCAGCCACTACTGAAACGCACTCTCAGGGAGAAAGAAGACACCTGTTTGCTTGGGATGAGTAGTGATGGACAGCATGGGGCAGGGGCTGGCAAACTTCAGCAGAGGGCCAGACAAGAAACACTCCTGGTTTTGCCAACCATATGGTCTCTGTCATAGCCTCTAATCTCTGCCGCTGCAGAGCAAAGCAGCTCCGGGTACAAATATGAGCCCAAATTGGGCTGAGGCTGTTATTCACAGATAGTGACATTTGAATTTTATTGTTGCCTTGTACCCTGACACAGGATTCCTCTCTTCATCTTACAACCAATCTTAGTTCTCAAGTCACACAACAACAGGCACCAGCTGGCTTTGGTCAGTATGCCACTGCTTGCTGACCCAGGCTTAGATTTTCTCCTTGTGTTCTGCTTATAAAGTGGGAATGCCTTCTGCTGGGCTTCATCTGACATAGATAAATTAAGGTTTCTTTCTTATGATGGATAACTTTTCATCAAACCCCTAGAAGTTTATTAAGCCATAATCCTAATGGCATATGAATATGGAACAGAGAATCAATTAATCCCTTTTGTTCTCATTGTCGTTCAAATTAGGTTTGAAATGTCACTGGGGTTTTACCTCTTTCCCTTACAAGGGGTTCCTATAAAGAAAATTCAGTGTTCAGTGGTGTCCAACTCCAGAGCAGAGTGCGTCTGGTCTAGGAGGATGAAGGTGAGAGAAAACTGACCAGACTAAGCAGGCTTTGTTTTATTATCTAAGCCAAGAGAAACAAGCCATGTCTTCTTAACACGGCATGGTATTTATGAGGTTAAAAAAAATCATGTTTCGTGCCTTCCTCCTCCTGAAGGAGGGAAATACTGACCCGTAAATATCAATAAGCAACTATAAATGTATGAATCAGCTTGTTTTGATTCAGTCATGTCATTTAGTTATCATAATGCATTTTAACCACGTGTTCCTGCACTTAGTGATCAGGACAAGTTACAATATCGTGGGGTGGCAGAGCTCTGGGCCGAGGAGCGTGTGCTGTTCCAGATCTCATCCCTGCCAGGGGCAAGTGCTTCAGGAGGAAAGAAGAAGCAACACACACCACCTTAAAACAGAAATACCACCTGCGCCATCAGCAGCCTGAGGCTTTGTCCTAAACGCACCTCCCAGCATGCCTTTACTGTATTTTCATATCTAAGAGAGCTACAGAGGGCAGAAACAGCTGTCTTTCTTCTTGAGACTCTGGATGTGTAGAATTCAAAGTACAGGAGAGCCAGACAGTGACTAAATCACAAGCAACTGCCAGCATCTGAGCCGAGCATCAACTGGAAACATCCTGATGCAGCCTACAAATATATATGCAGCTAATTCTAAGTGTGCCTTTCAAAATATGCTACACTTTTATTCCTCCTACCCCAAGCTCATGAAATGGGTAACTACACCATTAAAATGCACTTACCATGATCAGAAATTTGCATTTTTGGTCATACATAATGAGTTTTCTTAAGAGTGTGTATAGTCACTAAATAAATTAATAAGGATGTATAAAACATTAGTTGATCTTCGTTTGTACTTTCCTGTGTAACAAAACCACCTCCCAACCCTCTGTTTAACTCTACACTTCATAGTATCTCCAGCTAGGGAAACTAGAGTACCACTGTGCTCTTCCAGCATCGATGGTCATTGGCGCTAGAAGCATCATGGGAAGAATGGACGTGGACATGAGGACACACACACACACACACACACACACACACGCACTCACGCACACACACCTTCATTGGATCCTCAACCCCGCCCCCTGTGGAAGGCCGGGGAGGCATTGGCTACACACCTGTGCTCGTGCGGTAGGTGCCGGTGTGTGCTGGCGGCAGAGGGTCTCCCTGGCTCTGGCTGAGGCTCCTCATAGGGGGCTTCTGGTAGACTCGGTCTTCATAGATGGGGTCTATGTGGTGCTCCGGGGACTGCAGGGCCCGCAACTCGGGGCCCAGGTGTCCATGCTGGCTGCTGTAGGAGGCTCGGGACCCAGCTGCAATAAATGAAGGAGAGGGGCATGAAGGCTCCACCAACATTCAAACACGGTTTATCCAAGACGCTTTGAAGTCAGAGAAGAGAGGGTCGGGTTGATTGACATTCACAGAAAACCAGGTGAATATCCCCAACGGCGGCCATGATCTGGCTAATCAGTTTATCAGCACATCCAGCTGCCTGGTTTTGCTCCCCAAGGTGATGTCACGACAGAATGACAACGGTGCTGAAAGAAATCCCCGCAGCAGAAGACCACGGCCGAATGAGTGCGACTGGCCTCTTCACCAAAGGAGTCGGGCGGACAAACGATCCTAAAAGCCTCTTACAACATCGACCTCACACCACAAACTGTACTACCGGGATTATTTTAAGTGTCGAATCAATGAAGAGGACACAATGGCAAAGCCATCTTCAGGTTGACTGCTGGGCAGTGGGCTGGAAATTCTTCCTTTTAGCCGTTTCCCGCCACCCCCCTCCACCCCCGGCCCAGGACAACAGATAAGTCAAAATGCTTGAGCATCTAACAAGCTAAACCTCTGAGGGAAACAGATGCTAAAGATCAAGACTTCCGGGCCATAGCTTCCTTTATTCTCACTCTCCAAATCCAAGTACGTGCACTCATCTCTCCCCCTCTGGAAAATGTACCAGTAGACGTCACTAACGGGCTTACTGTTGGCTGGGGGGTTGAAACAGACCGATTTCCAGCCTTTGTGGACCCTGACTTGGGACACTTCATTGCACATCATGGGAAAAGGGTGGTTGGAGATGACCACTGGAATGCTCCTTAAAGAAACATAGACAGGGGCATTTGTATCTGTACACAAACACCTCCACTAAAGTAAGTGCTACACTGGGTAGGCACAGCATCTCCCTGACACCTCTGAATGACTTACAATTGAAAACAAGGAATCAATACCAGAAAGATGGACCGTGCATTATGTATGGAGGGTCAAGGGCAGCAGAAGAATGGAGAAGGACGGGTGGGTGAATACAGTCATGTTATTCGATGCATGTATGTGAAAACAGACCCGGGTAGATGGAGGGGGTGGGTGGGGTTGGAGCCATGGCAGAGAATGATGAAAACATCAACAGAAAGGCATGATAATCAGAAACTGACCCACCGAATCGAAACTCCTTTGGGCAATTACTTAATAATGTTTTTTGTTGTTTTTTTTTTTTTTGTTAGTCGTGGGGCTTGAACTCTGGGCTTGGGCGCTGTCCCTAAGCTCTTCAGCTCAAGGCTAATGCTGTACCACTTGAGCTACAGCACCACTTCCTGTTTTCTAGTGGTTTATTGGAGATAAGAGTCTCACGGACTTTCTGGACTTTCTTGCCCCGGCTGGCTTTGAACCGTGATTCTCAGATCTCAGCCTCCTAAGTAGCTAGGATTACAAGCGTGAGCCACCGGCGCCTGGCATTTTTTCTTTTTCAAAGAAGGAAGCTCCTTCATCAGGTGATAAGCCTTCATGAGGGTCACAGTTGAGTTAACAAGACTGTAAGGAAGATATGGAAGGGAACTGGAAGAGCTGAGGTGGGCTTGGGCAGCAAGGAGGGAGACTGTCAGCTGAGTCCAGCACCCATGCAAGAACCATGGAAAACCCAGCTGGCTTTCAAAATGACCTTCAGCTAAATCCCTCACACTAATACCCAGTGCTGCACTGGCATTTCACGCCAGCTGCTCTTCAACTCCTCCATCCCAAGCTCTATAGCCAGACGCATCAGGAATTCCTTGACCTGGATAGAGTCTGTGGACAGGTTCACCTACGTTCCGATGATCCAGGGTGCCTCTTAAAAGCCAAAGTGTTCTAATGCTCACATCAGGTGTTTGAGGGAAAAAGTCATTTGAAAGGTTTGCAACTGCTTACAGGTAAATGTTGGTTGGCATGTGGCTTCCCCCACTCCCCACCTTTTTCTTTTTCTTTTCTTTTGTTTTATGGTGGGTCATGGAGGTTGAACTCTGGGCCTGGGCACTGTCCCTGAGCTCTTCAGCTAAAGGTGAGTGCTCTACCACTTGAGCCACAGCGCCACTCCTGGTTTTCTGGTGGTTTATTGGAGATAAAAGTCTCACGGACTTTCCTGCCTGGGCTGGCTTTGAACTGCAATCCTCAGATCTCAACCTCCTGAGTAGCTAGGATTACAGGTGTGAGCCACTGGTGCCTGGCATCCCCCTTTTTCTTTTGATGCCAGTATTGGGACTTGAACTCAGGGCCTCTCACTTTCCCTTAGCTTTGGGGCTTTTTGCTTGTTAAATTTTGCTGTTTTGGGGGGATAAGAATCTCATGGACTTCTCTGTCCAGGCTGGCTTTAAACCATAATCCTCAGAGCTCAGCCTCCCGAGAGCAAGGAAAACAGGTATGAACCACCAGCACCAGGTAGCACAGGCCTCTTCAAATGTAACTCAGCCAAGAGCAGCACTGGTGAGTGGTGGGAGCAGCGTGAGAGCTCTAGGAATTTACGCTCACTCAAACACACTGCCTGTGGTGAGGGAAGGAAGAAGTGCGCAGCCAAGCTTCTCACCTTCCCTTTGCTGGTAATGAAATAATCTCTGATTTATATAGCATTGTGATGAATGATCTCTTCCAAATACCTGTTTTGCATAATTAGGTTCATTGCAGCTGATTTATCAAATGTCAACATCACTGGTTATTATCTCAAGCTTAGATTTTCCCAGGCATCTACTCTACGCCTTGAGTTCTTGCTGTCAATTTTTTAGGCCTGAAGGTTTTGAGAATATTGTTAAGGATTCAAAAGAGTAGAAAGAAGGAGACAGTGACTGCGTTCAAATGTCAAATAGTTAAATAAAAGTTAAGCATACTGGTAACAGCAGGAACTTTATCATCATTTCTTTATTCTAAGTTTTGATAAATATCCGATGGTAAGCAAAGAACAGACTAGACTGAACTTTTAAGCAGTGATATGTGAAGATCCTCCTGTTACAAGCATTCAATTTGTATTAGAAAATGTTCAGTAATACTAGTAATAAAATTAATAACCAAGAGTCAGAGGCAAGGAGCAAGAATTTTAAAGTCTATCTTTGTGAATATCATACTTTCAAGATGTTGAGACTGATTTTTAAAAATATATGATCATAGCAAGGCTCAGGTGCTCAAGCCTGTAATCCTAGCTCCTTGTGAGGCAGTGATTCGGGTATCACTTGGAGAACAGCTTGGGTATGAAAGGTTAAGGGACTCCTTCTCTAACACTGGTGAGGTGGTGTTCTGAGCCTGTTATTCCCGCTATGGGGGTTGCAAAGTGGCTGTGTACAGTGTACATGCCTGTCATCTCCAGGGAAGCAAGGAAGCAAAATTTGGAGAATTACAGCTCAGGCCACTATGGCATAAAGTGAGACCTACCTTACAATGACCAATGCAAAAAAATGGGCTGGACTCAAGTGGTAGACACTGAGATCTGTCCCTAGCACCAAGACCATATGTTGTGCCTTAACAGATACAAGTGTGTGTGTGTACATGCATGAATACACACATGTGTATGTGTTATATATTTATGTGCATGTTATATACACATATACTTATATGTGTGTTACGTATAAATATAAATGTAGTTTGTGTTTTATATATGTATTTGGAATGAGAAGACATAGATACATATACATATATACAAAGTGTATAAATGTACATATGTGTGTGTATATGTATGTGTGTGTGTGTGTGTGTGTGTGTGTGTGTCTTCTCATTCCAAGAAAATGACGGCTTCTTGTAAGGTCCACTCCTGGATGTTTAGCAGACTCCACCCTCCTTGCAGCAAAGTCTCTACCCAGTACCTGCGTTACCTAGGCAACTGGGACACCTCGAAGAGGTCACATCTGCATCCACTGAGGTCACATCTGACTTTGATGTGGCCACACCTTTCTCTACCCATACCCTAGATAAGGCCTAGTCCAGGCCCAGACGCTCTCTTGCTGCTCTTTTCTAGCTCTCTCTGCTTTCTCTCTACTCTAGCTCTTTCCTCTCTCTCTTTCCTAGGCCTTTCCCTTCTGGTGGAGTGCCAACCTTGCCTGGTCCCAGCAGGTCTACTGAATAAACCTACCCCTTACCTGAATACCACGTGCGTGCTGGTGCTGTTCTTACTCGCCTACCTCTTTTTTAAAAACCTAACACTTCTTAGTAGGATTTTTCTCTCAACATTAAGTTCTATTTGCTGACAAATCCCTAAGTTCCTTACAAGAACTCAGCGATAAACTGTGCATGACAGCACATATTTCTAACTCCAGTCACGTAGGTATTCTCGGCAGGGCAAAGAGCACAAGAGCCTATCTGAAAAGTAACATCAGCACGAAAGGGCTGGGGGTGTGGCTCAAGTAACTGAGCACCTGACTCACATGTACAAGACCTGAGTTCTGACCCTAGAATTTCTTTACAGAAAAAGAAAGTTGTGGAAGTGGAGCTATGGCTCCTATGGCTGAGCACTAGAATTGAGCAAAAGAAGTTCAAGGGTGGCACCCCAGGCCTTGAGTTCAAGCCCCAGGACTGATACAAAACAACAACAAAAATGCTTGGGCCATTCAGTCCATCCCTGGTTAGACAGCAGTTACAGTTACTTTTTGATTAAAAAAGTAATAGGTTCAACCAAGATTTTTCATAACTTAAACTAAAACCCTTCCATGTGTTCCCTGGGCAGTCCACAGATCGCAGCAGTCCAGCAGCTCAGGGGCACAGTCTACACGCTAGTCTACAACGGGGAGGGAGCAGCTGCTGTAGCCAAGACTACTACTAGCAGCCAGTCAGCCCCACCCTGCCCTCCCCCTCTGCTGCGGCTGGCTTGGAAAGATGCTAGGCTGGCTCAGAATGGAAGCAGCTCCTAGATGCTCTGCTGTGGTGGTGTGGAGAAAGGCAGAGAGGGAGCAAGAGATCTGACAGGCTCAGAATGTTGTGCAGACTGAAAAACAGAGCCCTCAGACCACCCTGACTTCTGTGTTGGGGCCATTCCTCTTCCCTGGGTGTCACGGACATATGCAAATGCCATGTAGAAGCTTGATATCAG